TATACAACAGATTGAATCAGTGCTTATTTATATGATAAGATTCCTGTTGCTGGAACCTTTTTAAATAAATTAATGGAGATATCCTATCTCCTAGAACTGGAAGGAACCTTGAAAGGTCATTGAGTCCAGCCCCCTGCCTTCACTAGCAGAACCAAGTACTGATTTTGCCCCCGATCCCTAAGTGGCCCCCCTCAAGGACTGAACTCACAACCCTGGGTTTAGCAGGCCAATGCTCAAACCACTGAGCTATCCCTCCCCCCATTAAAAAAAATTAAGATTGAATCAGTGCTTATTTATATGATAAGATTCCTGTTGCTGGAACCTTGTCTCTTCGAAATTCTGTACTGCACCAGGCACACTGTCAATACTCAAATTATCTATTTATTTTGTATCCATTACAAGTCATTTTTACTCCTGCTCCTTTTGATGCAAAGAGCAATATTACAAAACATAATAGTTTTAGCTCCATCCAAGTAAGGCAAGAACATTCAGAGCAAAGATTATCTTTTTTTCCATTCTTAAATCTCCCTATTGTGCCTCCAACAATACAGCTCATGTAGTAACAAAATATCACATGAGATTTCAATGACATCTAGACACATCAAAGTGAGTTAAGTAAAGAGTGATGGTTTTACGTCCACTTCCATGCCTTAGTCATAACTTGATTGAATGATGTTTTGGGTATTTAATATAAAATGAAATCTGAATCAGAAATCCATTCACAAGACCTTTTCACTGAATGACCATCCATCTATTCAAAGAACTATCTAAACAAAACTATAACAACTGTCATTAATACCAATGGGCACTTCCTTTTCTAAATGAAAAAAAAACAAAAGAACTCATGCAAAATGACAGTTCATGAAATGATGTACCAGTAATTTAAAGTATTCAAGGAAAACTGCAAGTTGTTGATAGATGTTCTTTAAACATGTTCACTGCTTAATCATTCTGTTTAGTTTCATAGGCAATTTAAATAGTAAAGATTGGTTCATTGTAGATAAGTAATTTGCATACCTTCATATGTTTCAGCAATGCAAGCATTTTAGTTCATTTTGCAAGGCTTTTAATACCCTTGATATTCTAGTAAATTAATCTGATCCTTATAATAGTGATAAAATAATGAATCTAAATAATGAAAAATTCAAAGTTAAGGCTTTCATTAGATAAAGCTTTACTGATTTGTGTGGTGAAGTAAT